AACACAAATAACAGTAAGTGTTGGCAAAGATGTGGGGAACTGGTGGGACTGCAAATTGGTGCATCCATTTAGGAAAGTAGTGTGGAGATTTCTTGGAAAATTGGGAATGGAAACACCATTTGACCCAGCTATCCTCTCCTCTGTCTATACACAAAGAACTTAAAAACAGCATACTACAGGGACACAGCCACATCAGTGTTTATAGCAGCACAATTCAAATAGCTAAACTGTGGAACCAACCTACATGCCCTTCAATAGATGAATTTGGAGTTATTAAGTAGCGATTTTTACCTCAAAATGTAAAGAAAAGCATCTCTACCTTTCCATTTTAAAAATGTTGCCTGGCCAGCGGTGGAGCATGCCTGGGATCCCAGCAGCTCAAGAAATTGAAACAGGAGAATTGTGAGTTCAAAGCCAGCCTCAGCAAAAGCAAGGTGCTAAGCAACTCTGTGAGACCCTGTCTCTAAATACAAAATAAGGGCTAGAGTTGTGGCTCAGTGGTTGAGTGCCCCTGGGTTCAATCCCTGCTACCCCCCCAAAAAAAGTTTTGCCTGAGCTGGGGGTATGTAGCTCAATGGTACAGTGCCTGCTTAGCATGTGCAAAGCCCTAGGCTTAATCCCCACCACCTCTCCCGCCCCCCAAAAAATAAATTTAAAAAAATTTTCTTTATTGTATAAAAGATGCTAACCTGTTTATAAGCTATCCAGTGTCAGGAAATTCTGGCTTAATTTTATTGGCTTGATCTCATTCTGGCTTTATCTTATTTCAGTCTCTGGTTAACAGTGGAAATTTTTTCAAAGTTTGTTTATTTATTCTAATTAGGCATATATGGCAGCAGAATGCATTTTGATTCATTGTACACAATTGCAGCACACTGTTTCATTTCTCTGGTTGTACAGGATATAGCATAGCACCATATGTGCAGTCATACATGTACCTAGGTTAATGATATTCATCTCATTACACCATCTTTCCTGCCCCCATGCCCCTGTGCCCCCTCCTGCTCGTCTCCCCCTTTGCCCAAAGTTCCTCTATTCTTCCCATGCACCCCATTATGGATCAGCATCCTAACAGTGGAAATTTTAAAAATCCTTAATGTAAATACATTAAAAGTGTCTTTGTGCTAGGTGACTTAGGGTAGCATTTTTGGAGGCACATTTACACTGAATATACTTTAGACGTATCTAATTATGTATACACACATGTGTTTGTGTAGAAATCAAAGTTCATTATATGAATCTTAACATAGTTTTCTTTTTTTTTTTTCCATTCACCAGACCATAGATATTAATGTTATTTCCAGGCATTTGGCTGTTAATTGTGATGAATGGTTATATACAGGTCTTTGGGTAGACATGTTTTTATTTCTCTTGAGTAAGTACCTAAAAGTGGGATTGCTGAGTAAGTGTATATTTAACTTAAACTGGTTTCCAAAGTGGCTATACCATTGTACCATCAATGTAGTAAAGTTCCTGAAGATTTGCATTCTCACCAGCATTTGGTTTCGTCAATCCTTTTTAATTGTAGTCAGTTTAGTAAAAGTGTCTTAGTGTTTTATTGTGGTTTAAATTTGCATATCCCTGATGACTAATAATGCTGAGCCTATTTTCATGTGCTTATTTGTCATTCATATACTTTAGTGAAGTATCTCTTCAAAATGTTTTATCATTTAAATATTATTTACTTAGTTGTACTGGGGATTGAAACTAGTGCCTTGCACGTGCTCTGTAAGCACTCTACCATTCAGCTAATCCCCAGTCTCCTTTCCTTTTTTGAGACAGGGTCTTGCTAAGTTGTCCAGGCTGGCCTCAAACTCTTGGTCCTCCTGACTCAGCCTCCCACATAGCTGTGATTATAGGCATAGCCACTAGGCCCATCTTGCATACATTTTTCTTTTTCCCTGAAAGTTCTGATTCTTTCTTCACCTGGTTTGAGTCTACTGATAAGCCCTTTTATTTATTTGTTTCCTTATTGGGGTACCACGATTGAATTCAGGGGCACTCAACCCCAGCCCTATTTTTGTATTTTATTTATAGAGACAGGGTCTCACTGAGTTGCTTAGTGCCTCACTGTTGCTGAGGCTGGCTTTGAACTCACGATTCTCCTGTTTCAGCCTTCCTAGCCACTGGGATTACAGGCGTGCACTACTGTGCCAGATTGAACAATATCTTTATTTATTTTTTATGTGGTGCTGAGGATCGAACCCATGTGAGGCAAGCACTCAACCACTGAGCTACAACCCCAACCCCAACAAGTTAAACTTCCTCTTTTTAATATTTAATGAAGTGGAATCACACATCATGTGATCTTTCATATCAGGCTTTTTTTAACATAGTGTAATGTTTTCAAGATTCATCCATGATGTAGCATGTATCATACTTCATTCCTTCTGGGTCTAAATAATATTCCATTGTATGGCTGCATATACATCTTGTTTATCCATTTGTTGGTTGATGGTTATTTGAGTTGTTTCACTTTATGGCTATTATGAATAAAGCTACTATGAATATTCATAGATGAAAAGGTATTAAACTTTCTGAGAAACTGCCAGACTTTTTCAGAAAGGCTGATATATTTTAAATTCCCACCAGCACTGTAGAAGGGTTCCAATTTCATATACTTTTTTTAAAAGTTTTCTTTTATTCTTCCCTCTCACTCCCCAAGAACTGGGTATTGAACCCAGGGCTTTGTACATGCTAGGCAACTGCCCTACCACTGAGCTACATCCCCAGCCCTTTTCATTTTTTGAGAAAAGGGCCTCATTCCATTGCCAAAGCTGCCTTGAGCTTACAGTCTTCCTGCCTCAGTCTCCCAAATAGCTGGACTTATAGGTGTGTGCTACCATGCCCAGAAAATTTTATTTTCTTTTATTGACAGATATTGTGGTTTAGTCCCCCCGCCAAAACTCCTGTGTTAATGTAGGAAGTGAAATAATTGGGATTATGAGGGCTATAATCTAATCAGTTGATTAATCCATTTGATTTATCCTTATTTCACAAATAATACAATTTCCTTCTTTTTAAAGGCTGAATAGCATCCCCTCTATTCATTAATGATTAGGTGGATTACATGTCTTGGCTATTGTGAATAGTATTGCAATTAACATGGGCAATGAACAATATAGATAACTCTTCAACATAACTAATTTTAGTCCCAGCTGCTTAGAAGGCTGAGGCAGAAGGACCCCTTAAAGCCCATGAATTTGAGAATAGCCTGGACAACACAGCAGGACCTCATCTCAAAACTTTTTTGAAGAACAAGACTGGGGTTGTGGCTCAGTGGTAGAGTGATTTCCTAGCATGCGTGAGGCACTGGGTTCAATCCCCAGCACCACATAAAATAATAATAATAAATAAAATAAAGGTATTGTGAAAAAAAAATTTTTAGTTAAAAAAAGAATATTGGTTTCAAATTCTTAGGATATATGCTTAATAGTACGATTATTGGATCATATAATAGTTTTATGTATAATTTTTTTGAAAACTTCTATATGATTTTCTATAATGTCTTTCCTATAGTTTGTTCACATTTTTGTCGACACTTAATATTTTCTATCTTTCAGTTTTTCATGGGACTTTATATTTTTGTTTTTGGTGCCAGGGATTTGAATCTGGGCACTGTTGCACACTCAGCATGCATTCAACGTCTCAGCTGCACCACCAGCCCCTGGGTTTGTACAAAATATTCAATTCATAATTATTTTAAAGTCCATCATCAAGTTGATCTCGATGTCTGTTATATTCTTCGCTTCATTTCTTGACAATTTGGGAGGTTTTGGGTTTGGGGTTGTTTTGTTTTGTTTGTTTTTTCTTTAAAACTGAATTCTGGACATCAGAATCATTGCTCTTTTCTCAGTAAGATACTTCTCAAGTAAGAGTCCTTCTCAAGGCTGGGAGCCCTTCTCCATGATGGTTTGTTTGTTTTGTATTCTTTTTTTTACATAGAAATATAATTATTAATTACATAGAAATGTAATTATTCCCACATACTTGGCTGGCTAAAAAAATTCTCAGAAATAATTTCCATCCAGGCAGGTGCAGTAGCACACGCTTGCAATCCCAGGGGCTCCAGAGGCCGAGGCAGGAGGATTGTAAGTTCAAAGCAGCCTCAGCAAGCGCGAGCGCTAAGCAACTCAGTGAAACCCTATCTCTAAATAAAATACAAAATAGGGCTGGGGATGTAGCTCAGTGACCAAGTGCCCCTAAGTTCAATCCCTGGTACCAAAAAAAGAAAAAAAATAAAAAAGAAAGAAAGAATTTTGATCTAGAATTTTGAAGACATTATTTCATTTCCCCCGCTATTGAAATGTCTGATGCTATTATGATTCTTTGTGACCTCTTTTCTCTGTGGACATATTTACGTATGTATGTATTTCTAGTTTTGCAGTGCTGGGGATTGAACCCAGTGCCTCACACATGCTAGGCAAACTCTCTTTTTTTTTTTTAAATATTCGTTTATTTTTTAGTTGTTGTTGGACACAATATCTTTACTTATTTGTATGTGGTGCTGAGAATCGAACCCAGGGCCTCACCTGTGCCAGTCAAACACTCTACCGCTGAGCCACAACTCCAGCCCCTTGCCCAGCCCTCCTTGGACACTTTTAAAATCTTTCCTTTTAAGCTGGCCCAATGGTGCATGCCTGTAATCCCAGGGGTTCCGGAGGCTGAGGCAGGAGGATCACGAGTTCAAAGCCAGCCTCAGCAAAGGCAAGGTACTAAGCAATTCATTGAGACCCTGTCTCTAAACAAAATACAAAATAGGGCTGGGGATGTAGCTTAGTGGTTGAGTGTCCCTGAGTTCAATCCCTGGTACCCCACCCCCGTCAAAATCTTTCCTTTATTGCCAGTGGGCTAAATTTTGAGACATTTGTGTCTTAGTATGACACTCTTTATGTTTCCTTTATTTTTGTTTTGGTGCTAGTGATCAAACCCAGAGCCTGGCGCAAGCTAGGCAGGTAATGTACCACTGAATTGTGTCCCAGTCTTTGTTAAAATGTACCTAGAATATGGAATGCTTCATGAACATGTGTGTCATCCTTGTACAGTGCCATGCCAATCTTGTCTGTATCATTTTGATTTTAGATATATGCTTTGAAAGTGAGTACCATGATGACTTTTTATTTTCAAATATATACACTTGTTCATAATCACCACCCAGAAAATTCCTTTATTCTCTCTCCCAGTCCATATCCCCTCAAAAGGTAACTAGTGCCTGTAATCCCAGCATCTCAGGAGGCTGAGATAGGAGGATCATGAGTTTTAAGTCAGCCTCAGCAAAAAGCGAGTTGCTAAGCAACTCAGTGAGACCCTATCTCTAAATAAAATTCAAAATTGGGCTAGGGATGTGGCTCAGTGATTAAGTGCCCCTGAGTTCAATCCCTGGTACCAAAAAAAAAAAAAAGTAACTAGTACCCTGATTTCCATTATAGATTTGTTTTGCTTATTCCTAAACTTCGTATAAATGAAATTATAATCAGTCATGGTAGCACATGCCTGTAATCCTGGTGACTTGGGAGGCTGAGGCAGGATAATCATAAGTTCAAAGCCCACCTCAGCAACTTAATGAGACCCTGTGTCAAGATTAAAAAGGCTCTAAATTAATAGATAGGAGCTAAAAATCATTATTTTCAACTGTATTGTGTCACTGACTTTGAGGAAAATATATGTAGAGTAATAAACAAGAAAATAAAATAATTATATCTATACTTAACTATTTTTTATAGTATTAGGCACTTTAAATTTCAAAAGGCAGTTTTGTATACATTATTGAATTAATTTATATGTTCTTTATATGAACTATTTTGTAGTTACCAATTTAAAAAACCCAATCCAAGATTTCATACAAAGTTACATCTATACTAGAGTGTAAGTTCTACAAAAATCCATGTTTCTTTGCTATCTTCCATACTAATAACTCTGAAGTACATGATGAGTGCATGAATCATAGTAGGTATGCAATTAGTAGGTATGTAGTGAATATATCTGTAAAATAAATATTTTAAAAATTGACTCACTATGCTTTATCAATTGTCAATATTTATAAACTTTATATTTCCAAACATTTCTTTGTTCATATAATTTTTAAATCTTTCATTAGGCTACATGAACATATGTGTAGAATGATTTATCATATATATGTAGTCTTTATTAAAATAGGAATAAGATACAAAAAAAAATTAAAAAGGCTGAGTAGGTAACTCAGTGGTTAAATACCTCCGGGTTAAGTCCTTAGTACCAAAAGTAAAAAATAAAAATGAAATCATATAGTACTCCTTTTGTGTCAGGTAACTTTCACTAAGCAGATCTGTGATTTCCCCCATGTTTTTGTGTATGCCAATAGTAAGTATTCGTTGCCATGTAGAATTCCATTGCATTGATGTACTACAATCTATCTACCAGTAACCCTATTTAAACTATTATATAATCATATGTTGTCCAATTTATCCTTTTATTATTATCTTAAAAGTTTGTAAATATCCAAAAAGTAATATGCAAACAATATATTTGTGTTGTTGCTTAGGCTAGAAACCTAGGATTTTTTTTTTTTTTTTTTTTGGTACTAGGAATTGAACACAGGTATACTTAACCACTGAAGCACATTCCCAGCCCTTTTTATTTTTAAGTTTGACACAGGATCTCACTAGGTTGCTTATGGCCCTGCTAAATTGCTGAGGCTGGCTTCAAATCTTCGATCTTCCTGCCTCAGCCTTTTAAGCCACTGGGATTACAGGCGTGCATCACCACACCCAGATAGAAACCTCAGATTTTTTTTGTAGTTTTGATGGACAGAATGCCTTTATTTTGTTTATTTTTATATATTGCTAGAGATCAAGCCCAGTGCCTCACATATGCTAGGCAAGTGCTCTGCCACTGAGTGTAATTATAGCCCCCTAGGAATTATTTTTGATCCCTCTTTTGACACATATATTTAGTCTTGCCAGAAAATTCTATTTATTCTTGAAAAGATGATTTGCAATCTGAGATCAGACACTTCTTACCATCATAACTCTTGCCCAGAATTTTGCACAAATGTCTTACCTATTTTAACTCTTGCCCTAATGTCTGTTCTCTGGGCAATTACTAGAAGAATCTGTTCATAGTGTCTCTCACCTACTCTCAACCCACAGCGGCCTTCTCACTCAAGAATATACTCTAGAGTTCTTACCATGGCTTACAAAGCTCTTGCATGGCTCTTGCTACCTCTTTAACCTACTTTGCTACACCATGCTTTCTTTCTCTGGCTCAGCTTTAACTGTACTGGCCTTCTCGTTTTTTCTCTCTACATAGAAGGCTCTTGCCCCACATAGTCCAATACCTTGTTTCATCATTTCATTCCAGTCCCAAATCAAATGTCACCTCATGGGAAAGCTTTTCCCTTGATAATTGAATCTAAAAGAACTTCCTACCTCATTTTTCTTGCCTTATGATACTTTTTCTAACACTCATCACTGACTATTTCTATTATTATAACTAGTTATTTGCCTGTGATTCTGTCTATCCTCTTGCTGTCTTCCCTGAGGTCAGGGACTTTGTGTTCTTTGCTGAATTTAGTTATGTCCTCACCCTGTCATATTAAAACTCTTCATAAATTGTTTTTGAATTCTATTTTGGTTGGTTGCGGTTTTATGAGTTTTTGGTTTTTTGTTTCATTTTTGTCTTTTGAGATGGAGTTTCACTATGTTGCCCAGGCTGGTTTTGAATTCCTGGGCTCATGTGGTCCTCCTGCCTCAGCCTCCAGAGTAGATGGGACTGTAGGCCACCATGCCTGGCTTTGTTTTTGAATTCTCGAATAGGACTTTTGGGTAGATTTAATGTTAGAGCTTATCAATTTCTAACTATGGTTTGCGTGGTATTTAAGTAATATTTTGATAATGTTTATATCATTCTGTAGTAGAGCATGGTTCTTTTTATTTTTCCTTTTTTGATACCAGGGATTGAACCCAGGGGAGCTTAACCATTGAGCCACAGCCTAAGTTGCTTAGGGCTTCATTAAATTGCTGAGGCTGGCTTTGAAACTTACAGTCTTCCTGCCTTAGCCTCCTGAGCCACTGGGCTTACAGGCGTGCACCACCATGCCAGGCTATTTTGCCTTCTTTTTTTGCAGATATTAAAGATAGCATTTGTTTAATTTTTTAAAAGCATCTTTTTAGAATTAGAAGAAGAAATAGTAAATATATAGTAACAATTCAAGAATTGGGTTATTCCACATTGCTTCTAACTGTTCCAAATTAAGACATCTGGTGACTAGGGAAGTTTTGGTTTCTCTGTGTTTGGTTAACCAGCTGGTGGTTCTGGAAAGGGAAAGGCAGTTCATTGTTCTTGTTGAAAGAAGCTGGGCATTCATAGACTTACTGTAGGAGGGTGACTTTGGATGGAAGAGTTACTTGAGAAACTGGGCAACTCAGGATGTTATTGAGGAAAATGTGTTTGTTTTTAAAAAGTTGTTTTGAATGTCATATCTGGAACCTGAGGGATAATCTTGCATTACATGAGAAAGTATGTGTCATTCTCTTCAACCCCTCCCCCTTTGCCTTGGTAACAGATTCCTGCACTTTCAAAATTGTGCTTTTCCTTAGAATTTTAGTATATTTAATGCCTGGGATGCCATATGTTGCTGCTACCAGTATCTTGAACATTTATGTGAATAAGAATAATATATTCACACTCACTAAACTGGATTAATTTATGAAGACATTAAGTCTCAGTCATTAATGAATATGAAATTTGAAATTATATTGCAATTGTAGCAGATGTCAGTTTAGCATACCTTCTACTAAATATTCAGCACTTCTTCCCAATTTAAAACAAATGGTTCTTTGGCAAGTTGTTTAAAGCCAATTCTATGTTAGTTTAAAATGTCACACAAATTTCTCTAAATTGTTGATATAAATGTCTTATGGGAAATGTTCTACTGAAGTTAAATCAATGTATGCTTTTTATCCCAAGGTATTATTCCCTCTAGGACATACTGCATATGGCCATGAGTGATTTGTGCCTGTGTCAGTCTTCCGTTTTTCTGAAATGTTAATACCCAGATTCCTAGGCTTCCCCTGTGCAGTGTTGTTTTGGATAAGCTGACATTAGATATGCTTCATAAATAATAACTCTCTTTAGTGTCCAGTGTAGAGCTAGTGTGGTTACCATTAGATTTTTCAGGTTTGCCATTGACCTTGCCATAGGTACATGACATTAGACATTGGCAGATATTGTTTCCAAGTGCTCTGCTAATATTCATCCCTTTTTGAAAATTAATATGATATATGCTTCCATAAAGGTAATAGTATATCCTTATTTTTAAAAAGTATAATATACTTATTACAGAGGCATTATAGTATAGGAATTAATAGCATAGTATCTGGAATAAGAATGATGAATTCAGAAAGTAGTTTTATATTGGCTATGCTTTTATCATCAGTAAATGGACATGTAATACTTGGGGATTGTTAGAATGTTATTATGACAATTAAAATGTTGAACAATATAGAAAAATTAGAAAGTATACTACCCCTGCACACATACACACACATACTCCGGTTACATTGGTTTTTTGTTTTTAATATTTCTTTAGTTATTGATGGACCTTTAATTAATTAATTAATTTATTTATTTATTTATATGTGGTGCTGAGAATTGAACCAAGTGCCTCTCACATGCTAGGCAAGCATTTTACCACTGAGCCACAACCCCAGCCTGCTCCAATTACTTTGAAATACATTTGATATTTTTCTAGACACCTTCCTTTGCAATGGACAGAATATGCATAAATAGAAATAAAGTTATACATTTTTCTCTAAGTAGTATTCTATTTAGTTTAAGTTGGATTTAGTACACACAAAAAAATGAAAGAAATGACTGTAAATCAGGTGTTTAGTACAATATTCTAGTTCTTGAAAATTTATTTCAAATTTATTTTTTTAAGATAAAAAAATATTAGAAATTGAGATCTTTATAGTTGGATGTTTTATTTAAACTACATGTTGTAGATATGTACACAATTAATTAACTGATGCACTCAAGCGAACGTTTCTGTTCAACTTTCACCCTTTCAAGTGCTGATGAGAGGACTTGGGCCTTCTTTTGCTTTATGGCTCTCCTGTCCAGTGGGCCTTGGAGTCCTCTGCATCAAACCAGCAGGCAGAAAAAGACACATTACCCCTTAATCACCTGGCATGACGTGGCATCCCTTCCACTAGCAAAAATGTGTTCCTGTGCTGGGGCTGTGGCAGTTTTTGGTTGGGCATCTGGGTTCTATTCTCTCTGCTGAGGTCCCAATAAGTGCCCTATAGCAAGTAGCAGTTCCCCATGTTCCAAGTTGTTTCTCTCCTGTCAGCTGTTTCTCATTTCTCAGACTTGGCTTGGAGGCCTTAAAAATTGGCATCCCTCACAGCTCTTTGCTGAGGCCGTCAGTGTAGGCAGGAGGGTTCGGCCACCCACTCCCTTAACTACCTTCTCCCCAGGTCAGGAGAGTTAGAATACTCAAGCTTTATTTTCACTTGCCTCAGTAATGCTTCAGGAAAAGGGGGTATTGGCTTGGGGAAGGAGATTCTGTTGGGCTGCTTTGCTAGTTTGTGGTAAAACAAGTGTTTAAAGTGAGGATTTTTGCTTTGGTTAAACCCATTGCTATTTTAATTGTACCACACTGGCAAGTTTTTGTTAAGCTACAAATACTTCACTGTTATGTTTACATTAAATCCAAGTTGACAATTTCTGAAAGTATTCATAAGAAACTGGTAACATTTATTGCCTAGGAGAGGAAAGAGTCTTGAAGACAGAAACATTCCAAAACAGTAGTTTTGGAGCCTTTTGAATTTTGAACCATGTTGACTATATTATTCATAAATATATGTATACATTATTAGAACATACAGAAACTTCCCAGATGGAGTTGTATATTAAGAATTTTTTAATCTCTCACTTCAGTGTTGTGTTTATTTTGTTGCTGTCTTTAGAATCAGGGCTTCTACCATAATTACTGAGTATATTTTATAGTCTTCTGAGAGTTCCTTTGTTTATTTCCTTTTCTCTTTTAATTTTGTACAAAAGCAGTTGAAAGGGAAGTGAGGGGGGAACAAATGATCAAAGTTCCTGTCTTTAATATGAATGAAATTGACTCCTGTGTGCTCCCTAAAGTTTTCTAAATTAGATCAATACTTGGTGATATATCTAAGACTTTATTTGATTATCTCTAATTAAGGGGGTTCTGGTTGCATTAACAAAAAATTCTGCAGCAAACTGACTTAAATAATCAGGAGATGTCAAATCCCATAACTATGGTGTAAAAAGTTCTGTCCATCAATTGGCTTGGTTCCAGTTTAGAACTTCTGGTAGGGAGGGGCATGGATGCACAGAGTGGCATTTTTGTAAGGTTTCTGAACCAATTAATGATGAAAGGGATAAGATGCTGTGGTTGGTCTAGGCTAATCAAGGTTGGTCCCTGGAGCTGAAGTGAAATCCAGAAACCATCCTGGTGCCACATGGAGGATAAGAAGAAGGATTTGAGGAGTACCATCATTCTGTCCATTCAGGTTTCTTAATTGCTCATCAAATGAAATATTACACACAACTGACTCCTCTGTAACTAATAGTAACTTTTGGAGAATGTAATTATTTTTCAGAGTGAGGGCTTTAGGGGGTTTCTTTTACTGTTCTCTACTCCATAACAAAAAGTTTGTTAAAATAAAAGTGGAGGGGCTGTGGTTGTGTCTAGCATGTGCAAGGCCTTGGGTTCAATCCTCAGCACCACATTAAAAAATAAATGAATATAAAAATAAATAAATAAATAAAAATAAAGGCATTGTGTCCAACTACAACTAAAAAATATTTAAAAATAAAAATAAATAAGTAGGGGCTGGAGTTGTGGCTCAGCAGTAGAGTGTTCGCCTACCACGTGCGAGGCCTTGGGTTCGATCCTCAGCACCACATATAAATAAATAAATAAATAAATAAATGAAGGAATTGTGTCCAACTACAACTAAAAATAAATAAGTAAGTAAGCAAGTAAATAAATAAATAAAAGTAGAATACAAAAATTAAAAGTAAAGGATGGTGCCAGGCACGGTGGTACACCTGTAATCCCAGTGACTGGGCCTGAGGCAGGAGGATCCCAAGATCAAAGCCAGCCTCAGCAATTTAGCGAGGCCCTAAGCAACTCAATGAGACCCTGTCTCTAAATAAAATACAAAAAATAGCTGGGAATGTGGTTCAGTGATAGATGCTTGTCTAGCATGTGTGAGGCACTGGGTTCGATCCTTAGCACCGCATAAAAATAAATAAAAGGCATTCTCTCCATCTACAACTATCAAAAATAAAATAAAAAAGGCTGGGGATGTGGCTTAGTGGTTTACTTCCCCTGGATTCAATCCCTGGTACCAAAAAAACAAAGGATGGTTGCTTACTATAAACTTTTCTAGGTTGGTATGTTTTTCCGATCACACTGCTTCCTTTTTCTCAAAGCCTAATGTGCTTATTCTTAATTAAAGTTGATAATAAAGATTGAGTGTTTTAAGTGTTTCAGATTTTAGAGTTTTTCAGATTTTGGAATATTTATGCATGTGTCTTGAGGAAGGAACCCAAGTTTAAACACAAATTAATTTCTGTTTCATATACATCTTTTACACATAGCCTGAAAACAATTTCATACAATATTTTTAGTACAACTGTGTTTTGAATGTGCTCCATCACAAGATTGAGCATAAAATTTTCTGTCATGTCAGCTCTAAAAAGATGTTGAATTTTGGAGTGCTTTGGGTTTTTGGAACATTTTGAGTTTTTGGTTAAGGAAAAAATTAAACCTGTAATACTTCGGTTCAGCAATAGCTTAGTATTTGAATGAATATAGATTCACAGGTTTTGAGGTTACTTCAATTTCAAACCAGATTCCCCCAGTATGGTCACTCATGCTCTCAAGGTATGAGAGAGCATGGACAAGTGAGCTCATGAGCTTCAGTGTCCTCTGTAAAATGGTGATGATAATACTGTCTCACAGGGTTAAATGATTAAGATTTTAGAAAAAGCTGGAGATAACGTTTCTGACATATAACCTAGTATTTCTTAAACTCCAATTGTGATTTTCTTCTCTGGCTTAATTATCCTGGCCCAATTTAATAGATGTAGTGACATTATTGTTAAATCGTAAGTATGGGTCACTAAATTTTTAGAGCCCATTTCTGAATGACCTTTCCCATTATACTTCTTTCTTTGTTAGGGACTTTTGTATTTCACAATCATCAGAGCTAGGTCCTTATAGTCAGTAGGCAATATTGAGTTCCAGCTGTGGGGAATTAGGATTTTCCAATCCACATCTGATAAATTGTCTCAAAAGAAAATCATATACTTCTGTGCAATTGTTAATTGTGTTGTCAAATCTTTTACGTAAAATGATGAACATTTCAACCTGAAAAATAAAAATAGACTTCTAAGGGCACTGCTTATATTTTATTTTACACAAAAATAATACGCAGAGGGCTGGGGTTATAGCTCAGTGGTAGAGTGCTTGCCTTGCATGCACAAGGCCCTGGGTTCGATCCTTAGCACCACATAAAAATAAATAAATAAAAATAAAGATATTATGTCCATCTACAACTAAAAGAAATATTTAAAAAAATAATTCACAGAGACTTCAACTATAGTACATTTCATAAGGTACTTTAATACTTTTTATCTACTTCTTTTATGAAATTATTTAAATTAGTCTCTCTGTCATATTTCATATTCAAACTGAGCCAGTTGAGTAATAAGCAATACTCAGTTGAAGTTGGATTTATTTAAGATGTATTTTAAAATAGGAAGAACATATTATTTGGTTTCTTTTAATAGGAAATAAAATGAAATAACATTTGATATATAAAAATAGCTTAAATTTTATTTAGGCAAAAACTGCAAGAGGGGCTGGGGTTGTGGCTTAGTGGTAGAGCACTTACCTAGCATGTGGGAGGCACTGGATTGGATCCTCAGCACCACATGAAAATAAATAAATGAAATAAAAATATTGTGTCCGTCTACAACTTAATTTTTTTTTTTTTAAAGCTGCAAGAGTGCCTGGTGTGGTGAGCACATGCCTGTAATCCCAGCAGCTCTGAAGGCTGAGGCAGGAGGATTACAAGTTCAAAGGCAGCCTCAGCAAAAGAAAGGTGCTAAGTGAAGGATAAGCAAGGAACGAGAGACAGGTAAGCGAGAAATGAAAGATAGAGACCAGTCAGAGATATACACAAGAGTTTGTCAGAGCTGACAAAGGCCACCTTTCTATAGGAGAGAGATGCAAAACAGGCGTGGGTTCTGGGACTTTTATGGGGGAGGCTCAGGAATCAGAACCAGGCAGGTCCTAATGAGGAAGGTTAAGTGTTGGGTTGGTATAAGGGAGTGATGAACCTTTCTCAGGGAAGTCCCTTGGGTGGGAAAGTGAAACTTTTTCCTTAAAATGGCAGCTGTCACTTAAGATGGCCATCCAGATGCTAAGCAAGGACCTTAGACTGCCACAGTCTGGCTGGGCACAATTCAGGAGCCACTTGTCAAAAGAAACGAACTTTATTTTTAGAACACACACACCACACCACACAGCTCTTCAGGCAAAACCCTCAGAGCCCAACTGCCACCACCAGCTTCCCACAAGCCTCTCACCCCCCCACTCCTTCTGCTCTTGAGGCCAATTGGCTGGGTCGCGTGGGCAGAGCCAAAAAAAGTCCCCCAATGAGCAGCTCTGTGGTCTGAAAAGGCAGGGAAACAACCCAATGAGCATCACCGCAGAGGAGCCAATCAGTTGGCAGCTAGAAGTTTGCTGGGGCCGCTGTGAGCCAATCATCAGCTGGCAGATGGTGCTGGCAGCTGGAAGTTTGCTGAGGCCCCTTCGGCTGTGGCTCTCAACATTAGACTAAGCAATTTAGTCAGACCCTGTCTCTAAATAAAATAAGGAATAGGGCTGGGATGTGGCTCAGTGGTTGAGTGCCCCTGAGTTCAATCCCTGGTACCAGAAAAAATAGAAAAAAACCTGCAAGAGGAGTTCATTCTTAAGTTTAGTGATTTTGTTATTAAGTAGTCAACCTTTCGTTGTTGTTGTTGTTTTGGTACTGGGGGTTGAGCCCAGGAGCACTTAACCACTGAGCTACATCCCCAGCCCTTTTTTTGACACAGGGTTTTGCTAAGTTGTTTAGGGCCTCACTAAATTGCTGAGGCTGGCCTTGAACTCGCATCCTACTGCCTCAGCCTCCCGAGCTGCTGGGATTATAGGCATATACCAGCTAGTAGTCAGCTAAGAACAATGATTCAGATCAGAGATCAGTCAGCATTTCTCATGTAATATATTGCAAGATGGGCCAGGTGCAATGGTACATGCCTGTAATCCCATCGGTTTGGGAGACTGAAACAGGATTGAAAGTTCAAGGCTGGCCTCAATAATTTAGTAAAACCCTGTCTCAAAATAAATAAAAAAGGACTGAGGATGTAGCTCAGAGGTAAAGCACCCCCTGGGTTCAATCCCCAGTATCCTTCCCCGAAAATGTTGCAGGATGGCTGTTCAACAAGTAGTTATTATTTGAAGCCCCAAGGTGTCCATGAGGTATCTTTCTAAATTTCTCCCAGCCACTGCACTATTTACATACCTGAGAATTTTGTATCCCAGTAACAATCACAACAGCTGCCATGGCTCAGCACCAGGCCACTGCTAGTTTTCTGCTATTTCTTGGACTGAAGTAGATAGCTCTTTGAAGGAATTATAGGTCAAGATGAGATATTAGGGGCTGAGGCTGTAGCTCAATGGTAAAGTGCTTGCCTTGTATGTGTGAGGCACTGGGTTCAATCCTCAGCACCACATAAAAATAAAGATACTGTGTGTTCAACTACAACAAAATAAATATTAAAAAAAAAAAGATGAGATATTAGTAATATACCTCCATTCCCAGAACAGTTAGGTCCAAATTTAAATTGGATGTGGTTGGGCAAGAGCACTACTACTTGAGCCACATCCCCATCCCTCTACCTGTTTCTTTATCTGGACCTTCTCTTATCTCCTCTCAGTGTTGGGAAGGGTATGGACAGCAGTGTATCTGTAGGATTGAAAAGGAAGTAGCAGTAACTTCGCTTTCACTTATGTATTTCTCTTTATTGATCTCTTTTTGCCTATCTTCATTTACTGTCTCCTTTGGTACTCTTCTGTCCCTCCATGTGTGCATGTGTGTGTTTGTGTATGTGTGTATTCTCATATATCTCTTCTAGTCAGCTTTTTTGCTGCTGTGAACAAAAGACCTGACAATAACTTTGGAAGGGTGGGGTGGGTGTCAGGGATTGAACCTTGAAGGGCACTTAGAACTACTGAGCCATTTCGCTAGCCTTTTTTTTTTAAAGACAAGGTCTCACTGAGTTGCTTCAGGCCTCACTAAATTACTGAGGCTGACCTCAAACTTGAAGTCCTCCTGCCTCAGCTTCCCAAGTTTCAGAGGTTTTAGTTTATAGCTCTAGGCCCAAGGTGTGGCAGAACATGGAAAAAAGGCATGGTGGGGGAAAGCAGTTCTGGACATAGCAATCAGGAAGCAGAAAGAGAGCTGCACTCACTAGGGACAAAATATAAACCCCAGAGGCAAGCCCCCAGTGACCTGCCTCCAATTACTACACAGTTAATCCATGTCAGTGGTTCAATCCACTGATTAGGTTCAAGTCCCATAATCTAATCATTTCACCTCTGTTCTTGCATTGTCTCATACATAAGTTCTTTTTTGGGAGGATACCACATATCTAAACCATAATATTCTCATTTCACCTCCTTAGCTCTCTCTGTAATATTTCTTAAACTGTTGAGATCTAGAATGCTAATTAAGCATTATTTTGTGCATCTAACAAACAGACACAAAAAAAGATTAAATTCATGGTTAATTTTGTTCTCCACATGTGTTGGTTAGGTTGAGCCATATGAAATTTCAATATCATTTTGATCTACAGAAATAGATTTAATCTAATGTTTCTCTAAGCAGCTTGCTCAAAAGTAGGATTTGGAGATTGAATGAGTGGTCTGAATGGAAGAGTGAGATATTTATGAGGATTTCTAACGTGAGAACTAGATAGAGCAAGGTACCATTATGATGCAAATACCATTGAACAAAATGGAGACAATTGAGACGTATAAATTGTTTAGTATTTTTCAAGGGCAAGGTTTTGGGAAGAGGGGAGCATAAATAACCACTTTTGGGGCTGGGGATGTGGCTCAAGCTGTAACGTGCTCGCCTGGCATGCGTGGGGCACTGGGTTTGATCCTCAGCACCACATAAAAATAAAATAAAGATGTTGTGTCTGCCGAAAACTAAAAAATAAATATTACAAAATTCTCTCTCTCAAAAATAAATAAATAAATAAATAGCCCCTTTTGTTTTGGGGTGTGGTAGGACACATCCAAGGAGAAATCACCAGTAGTAGTTGGACATGTGGATTTGTGTATAGATAGATGGGATTATTCACTGACAGGTGGCAATTAAAAACATGAATGTAAATGAGGTCACCCTGTAATTGTGGACTGAAAAGTTAAATGCACATTTTAGGATATTTTGAATATCTTGTGGTAAAAAATTATGCTAAATAATGTTTTTTCTTCACAAATGTAAAATCTTAGTAGTTTCATTTTGTACTTTGAATGCCTTCATTTTACAAATTCCCATGAGTGGAATTCCCCTGCAAACACACAGATGCATGCAATGTCCTTTCAGGTTTATCCTGTTGCTCCTAGAACTCTTAGGCTCTTTTATCATTTTTTTAATTGTATTTTATGTATTTTTAAGTGGTGCTGAGGCTCAAACCCAGTGCCTCACACATGTGAGGCAAGCACTCTACCACTGAGCTGTAGCCCCAGCCCTCAATGACCAGTTTTTAATGGCATAAGCAACCATTTTCCTATAATGTTCATTAATAAAACAGGGCTTCTCAAAAATTATTGAATGAATAGTGTAAACTTCACAGCAGATACACATAAATGTAGTTCCTTTTTATAAATTCTTAAGCATAGGAGTAAAAGTTTTCGTTGTGTCTGTAATGTTTCAATTATTTAAATAAAAATTCTGAAGCAAATGTGGCAAAAATGTTAGCATCTGTTAAATCTGGGTATTACATATTTGGGTGTCTGTTATACTTTCTTCTACACCTATTTGTACATTTGAAGTTTTCTGTAATTAAGTGATTAATTTTTTTAAATTAATAGAATAGGCAATGTGACAGGGAACAAGAGGGCTTCTTTATGTTGGTTGATGGAGAAGTTCTCTCTGGGGAGGTGACATATACTATGACCTGAATAACAGGAAGGAGTTATTCATGTAGAAAATGTGGGGAAAGAGTATTCCAGGCAGAGAAACAGCTGTTGTTATAGTACTGAGGTAGGAGAAACCATGATATGTTCCAGGAAAGAAGCCATTTTAGCCTGTTTGGTTGGAAAACCAACAGTTATGCTGGTAACTACCACAGCATAACTAGTCATTGGTTCTTTAGTCTTGGAATACTTAAATTGAAGGAAGTTTACTATTTTTAGTCTAATGTAATTCCATAGTTTTATCCATGTAGGGATTATAGACTGACGGGGTAATGTTATTTAAAAAAACCAAAAGTATTTCTCAGTGTCCAGTTGGAACAGTCTGGACATCAAAGGCAACAAGCTGGGTGTGGTGGCTTATGCCTGTGGTCCCAGCTGCTTGGGAGACTAAGGCAGGAACTTCTTAAGCTCAGGAATAACTGGACAAATAACTAGACCATGTTATGGTTTGTATATGTGAGGTGTCTCCCCAAAGCTCCTGAGTTGCTGCAGGAATATACAGAGGTACAGTGCCTAGATAATAAGAGCTCCATTCACACTATCCATCCTGGAGACTGGCTGGTAACGGTAAGCAGGGGCAGGTGCCCTGAGAGGGTTCATCTTCCCTGAGAGCCAACCCCTTCCCCACCCCTTCTCTCCTTTCTCTGCTTCCTGACCTCTTTCCTCCACTGGGCCCTTCCCCCATGTTGCACTGCCCCATCTTGGGCCCAGAGCAATGGAACAGCTATCTATGGAACTGAGACTTCTGAAACTGTGAGCCCCAAATAAACTTTTCCACCTTTTAAGTTGTTCTTGTTGGGTATTTTGGTTGCAGCAACGAAAAAGCTAACAAATTCCGATCTCAAAAAAAAAAGGCAATGAACTATTATATAATTATTAAAAATAATTTCTTAGTGACAATGGAGAGGAAGGGAGGGGCAGAGAGTGAGAATCTTTATAGTTTTCTAGATGAAAGTCAAAATGAGGTAGAAAGAATGATTGAATAACTGCTTAGCAGATCCCAGTATAACTTGACATCATATGCCTCCCTGAGGTGATGCAACAAGAAGTACTTAGTATCACCTAAATAGTATCCCTACCCACAGTGTTAAACTTCTATTTAGTCATGAGGAAACAGACACATCGAGAATGTGGGACATCTTTTGAGACAGTTGGCTTGGACTTTTAAAAACATTCAGTGTCATGAAAAACAAGGTTGGGGAGGTGTTCTTATGCTGAAATATTTAGAAATGAAGTGGTATTTCTTCTGTAACAAACTTTCATATGGTTCACACAAAATAAGATGTATGTATATAGATATAGAGAGAAAACAAATGTGGCAAGAAGTTAACAGTTGGGGACTCTAGGAGGTTAAGGACTGTGTGTGTTTATATGTGTTCATTATATTATTCTTGCAGGTTTTATAGTTTTTATTTTTATTTATTTTTGAATTTATTTTTACTTTTATTTTTTTGGTACCCAGGATTGAACCCAGGGGTCACTTAACCACTGAGCCACATTCCCAGCCCTTTATATTTTATTTTGAGAGAGGGTCTCACTAAGACCTTAGGGCCTCACTAAGTTGCTGAGGCTAGTCTCAAACTTGCAATCTTCCTGCTTTAGCCTCTCCAGTCACTGGGATTACAGGCATGTACCACCATGCCTAGCAGTTTTTATAGTTTTTAAATTTCAAAATTAAAAGATGGGGATAGTTCATGTGCCAATTTTGAATGTACCTTTTAATATTTTTTGAGATGTTGATGGGCCTTTTTTTATTTCATTCATTATGCAATGCTGAGAATCGAACCCAGTGCCTGACACATGGTAGACAATCCTTTTACCACTGAGCCACAACCCTAGACCCAACTTTTTGATATTTTTTTAACCACCAATTATGCTGTTTGAGGCCACTCTGATAGATCCAACTTCTTTATCATTTGGTGTTAGTGGAAAAGGTAGTGGTGATACTGGTGATTTTTACAGTTATGTTTATTGAACATGTATTATGCTATATCAGACATGAAGCAGAACACATTACACATATTATTTCAGTTAATCCTCATAACTGTTGAGTTAGTGGTCACTTCTCTTAAAGATGAAAAGATGGATGTTTCCAAAGCTATCACTAAAGCAACAGAAAAATAATTAAGAATAAAGTTGTGGATTAGTTAGTGAAGCAGACTAGGATATTCATTAGCGAAAAGTACCATAGAAAAACTTGTAGTGAGCTGGACATGGTGGTGCACACTTGTAATCCCAGTCATTGGAGATGCAGGAGGATCTCATATTCAAAGCCAGCCTCTGAAATTGAGTGAGGCCCTAAGCAACTTAATGGGATCCTGTCTCAAAATAGAAAATAAAAAGGGGCTGGGGTTGTGGCTCAGCGGTAGAGCACTCGCCTAGCACATTGCGAGATGCTGGGTTCAATCCTCAGCACCACATAAAAATAAATAAATAAAATAAAGGTATTGTATTCAACTCCAACTAATATAAATATATATATAGATAGATAGATGGATAGATAGATAGATAGATAGATAGATAGTGTCTGTGTTCAAAACCAGTCCCACCATTTAAAAGTTGCTACTGCCTGAGAAACACTTCTCCAAGATTCTGTCCTGGGGACTTATTAGTTTCCTATGGGGCTATAACAAATGACTACACACTTACTTCATAGCTTCTTGTTCTGAAGGTCGGAAGTCCAAGGTGGATGTCACTGGACTAAAAGTAAGGTGTCAGTGGACTGCATTTCCACTTGAATCCTCTGGAGGAGAATGCTTTCTTGCCTTTTCCAGTTTCTAGAGGCTATCTACATTTCTTGGCTTATGACCCCCATCTTAAAAACCAGTGATGTTGTATCTCTCTGTGCCTTTCTTTCATGTAACATCTCCCTCTGACACTTCTGTGTTTCTCTTCTACTTTTTAAAAACACTTGTGATTATATTAGGTCTACCCAGATAATCTAGGGTAATCTCCCTATTTTAAGAGCAGCTTTAAATTAGGCTAATTGGCAACCTTAATTCCATCTGCAACCTCATTTCTCCTTTTCCATGTAACCTAACTTATACTCAGGTTCCAGGGATTAAGGCATGAACATCTCTGGGGAACTTTTTTTTCCCCCCATGGCCTACACATCCCTGCTAAATTCTAAAGTTGTATAAGGGACCTGGGGCCAGATAATGATTCACAGTGTTTGCCAATACTGAGGACTGTGAGCAGGACCAATAATTGGGTTTGAACTAAAAGGAACTACTAAGTGATATATATATATAATTTATATCTTTTCTTACTAGCTAAGAAATACCTATGGTAAATGCAGCATTAAAGAGTAAATTAGGGCTGCGGATGTGGCTCAAGCGGTAGCACGCTCGCCTGGCATGCGTGCGGCCTGGGTTCGACCCTCAGCACCACATACAAACAAAGATGTTGTGTCAGCCGATAACTAAAAAATAAATATTAAAAAAATTCTCTCTGTCTCTCTCTCTCTCTTTTAAAAAAAAAAAAGAGTAAATTAGAAGGCAACTGAGTTTTAGTTATATTGTGATAGGGAAATGATTAAAATATTAGAACAGCTTCCATTTCTATTCTGTGCCTTTTTTTTTTTTTTTAACTAGGGATCAAACCCAAGGAACTTAACTACTGAGCTAGATCCCCAGCTCTTTTTATTTTTTATGTTGAGCCTGGGTCTCACTAAGTTGCTTTAGGACTCTCCCCTAAGTTGCTGAGGCTGGCTTTGAATTTTCAACCCTCCTGCCTCAGCCTCCCAAGCTGCTGGGATTACAGACATATGCCACTGTGCCCAGCTGTGCCAATTTTTTTATTACCTAATTGCAACATTAGAGAAACTAAATTTAATTTAGTTTAATTTTATTTTTTATATTTCTGTTTTACAGAGTTTTACTATCATTGAATGATACTGTTGATATGGAGAAGATTGAGGAACAATTTTCTAACCTGCATATTGTTAAGCGTTCCTTGGAACCGAAGGAACCCACTTATCTGCTTGACATAGACACATCGAAGACTGTACAAGAAGAAAAAGGAAGCTTGGTTGCTGTTTTATGTTCTAATGGATCAATAAGGATATATGATAAAGAAACATTAAACATATTACGAGAATTTAATGGATATCCTGGACTTCTTAATGGAGTCAAGTTCTCCAGTTCATGTGACAGTGTATATTCAGCAAGTACTGATGGCACTGTAAAATGTTGGGACGCTCGATTAGCCAGTGAAAAACCTGTTCAGCTGTTCAAGGGGTACACTTCCAATGTTTTCATCAGCTTTGATATCAATTGTAATGATCATGTCATTTGTGCTGGTACAGAAAAAGTGGACGATGATGCATTGTTGGTATTTTGGGATGCAAGAGTTAATTCTCAGGGTTTGTCTACTAGTAGAGACCCACTCGGTACATATTCAGAGACACATAGTGATGATATCACTCAAGTACGTTTCCATCCCAGCAATCCCAACATGGTCGTCTCCGGTTCAACTGATGGCTTGGTAAATGTATTTGATATTAATGTTGATAATGAAGAAGATGCACTAGTTACAACCTGTAACTCAGTGTCATCCGTAAGCTGTATTGGTTGGTCTGGGAAGGATTATAAACAGATTTACTGCATGACACATGATGAAGGATTTTGTTGGTGGGATCTTAATCATTTGGATACTGATGAACCAATTACACGTTTGAACATCCAGGATGTCAGAGAAATAGTTAATGTGAAAGAAGGTAATTTGGACTATTTGATTGGTGGCCTCTATCATGAAAAGATGGACAAATTGTTTGTTATTGGAGGAACAAACACAGGAAGGATTCACTTAATGAACTGCACCACGTCAGGACTGACCCATGTGACTACCCTTCAGGGAGGACATGCCGCCACCGTTCGTTCTTTCTATTGGAATACACAGGATGATTCTCTGCTGACAGGGGGAGAAGATGCACAGTTGTTACTTTGGAAACCTGGAACAGTAGAGAAGATGTTTACAAAGAAAGACAGCATGAAAATAGCATCCTCTGTGCACCAGCGAGTACGCATTCACAGTAATGATTCTTACAGGAGAAGGAAAAAGCAGTGATGTTGCATTAGGAGTTTCCTTGATAGGTTTCAAAGTTTCAAGTAATGGTTTCTGGGTTTCTGTCTGTAACCTCTAGTAAGCATGTTTAAACCTTGTATGTAACAACAAATGAGTTCACAAACAAATCCTGGACAAATGTTGAGAATGGTTTAATTCAAGAGGTCTGTTTGTATTCTAAAATATTTTTAAGCCTCCAGTTGAGTTTTGAAAATCAATGAGTTGGAAGTAAAATTACATGCCTCATTTTAAAGACCCATCTGTTGGGTTAGTAAATGTTGGGTATGAAGAAATAGCTCTGATAAGGACTTTTTAGAAGTAGATAGCTGATGAATCTTAAAGAAACAGGTGGTTTGAGCTGTGGATTTTGTTGTTGTTTCGTTTGTTTTTGTACCAGGGATTGTACCATGGAGCGCTTAACCACTGAGCCAAGTCTTAGCATGCATGAGGCCTTGGGTTCAGTCCCTAGCACCCTAAACAAATAAATAGAAATAAATCATAGGCATTTACCTATAATGATAAAAACATATTTAGTTAATATTTATATTGTTTACTTTTATCTAAATAGTTGCTGATGAAAAGGAAATTATCTTGTGAAATTCATTTTGACACTCAAAATATAAAAATGTTTGTAATAGGACTATTTTATTTCAAAATATCCTTTCGATAATATTTGTGGTAAAATCCTTTTACAGTGTTTCATCTTTAATTTTAACCTTGAAGTTTCGCTTACTGGTAATTTTGTCATTCTTTTAAAAAATATTTCTGTAAAGAATGTTAATAAAAGAAATTGATTATTCTGAAGGTTTGTTATCTTTTCTCAAGGGTAAGAATATCTTTCTATAGATACTAGTAATATTGTCATGAAAAACAAGTATTTCATTATATCTCTTTAAATCTTAATTAATAATGGCATCTTTTAATCTGTGATACTAGGAGAAAATCAATCTATCTATCTATCTATTTATTTATTTATTTTTGGTACTGGGGATTGAACCCAGGGCCTTGTGCATGCAGAGCAAGCACTCTACCAACTGAGCTATACCCCAGCCCAAGAAAATTTATTTTTATATAGAAAAATATAGCTTACAATTAGGCTGTGATCTAGAGTAGCTCACCTGAGACTACAAAATAGGTAAGTCATAGTTTAACATATTCAAACTATATAATTAGTTTTCTGTTGTGTGTTTTTTGTGTGGTGCTGGGATCAAATCCAGGGCCTTACAGTTGCTAAACAAATGCTCTACCTCTGAGCTACAACCTAGGTTCCTTGCTTAGTTTTATAAGACCTATGAGGTATGAATGGTTTTCATATCTTTAAATAGCAGCAAAAGCCAAAAGAGTATTTTGTAACATGTGAAAGCCAAAAGTTAGAGATGATTCAAGTAACCATCAGTAGATGAATGGATAGGCAAAATGTAGTACATCCATTCAGTAGGATGATATTTGGCCATTAAAAAAGAGGAGGCTGGGTGCAGTTGCTCATTCCTGTAATCTCAGTGGCTCTGGAGGCTGAGGCAGGAGGATCATGAGTTCAAAGCCAGCCTCAGCAATTTGGTGAGGTGCTAAGCAACTCAGTGAGACCCTGTCTCTAAGTAAAATACAAAATAGGCTGGGGATGTGGCTCAGTGGTGAATATCCCTGAGTTCAATCCCTGGTACCCCCCGCAAAAAAAAAATGAAGAAGAAAGAAAATCTGAGATACTAAAGGAAAAAAATTATATGATACTGAAGGGGAAAAAAAGATTATCTTAATTGATACAGAAAAATACATGGGAAGGTTTTACATCTGTTTAAGAAAAAAATACAAATACCAAGCTAGCAACAGAATGCTTTTTTGTTTTTTCTTTTTTTGTACTAAGGATTGAACCCAGAGGTGCTTTACCACTGAGCCACATCCTCAGCCCTTTATATATTTTTATATTGAGACGGGGTCTCACAAAGTTCCTTAGGGCCAGTTGGGCATGGTGGCACACACCTGTAAGTCCAGCTACTTAGGAGGATCACGGGTTCAAAGCCAGCCTCAGCAACATTGAGGTGCTAAGCAACTCAGTGAGACCCTGTCTCTAAATAAAATATGAAATAGGGCTGGGGATATGGCTTAGTGGCCAAGTGCCCCTGAATTCAATCCCCCCCCCCAAAAAAAAACCTACACTAACCATTATACTTAATGTGGAAATGCTATATTAAAAGATATTACATATCCTTTAAGAAGTAATAGTTAAATTGCACTATTTTACTTTAGTCAATGTGCTTCAGATACAAGTTGTGTTTGGACTCCTATTGGATTGTTAGAAGGGAAATGGATAACCTAGGTAATGACATACATTAATTCAACTCTGTTCCAGTATTTACTATGGATCCTACAGAAGGGATACCATGGAGTGAGATGCAGTTGTGTCTTGTAAGAGGTCACAGATTATGAGATAGACACGTTTACATTAAGCATATTTAAATACAGCATCGATAAATAAATAAATAAATACAGCATTGAAAGAGCTGTAAGCATGAACAAAATGTTGTGTGAAATCCAGATGGCAAAGTGCCATAATATGTACAATTGTAGTAGCAATTCACTTTTCTCCTTTGTCGTTTACCATTGTTCACTGTTCTTGCCTTCCTCCCCATCCTTTCTTCTTAAGCCTGCCAGTCAACTTGTTATAGTTGAGCTCTCCCTTTAGTGTTCAGAGTTACAGAAGTCTCTGATGGTGATTGATTAAAAGATTTGCTTTGGCGCTGTGGTTGTAGCTCAGTTGTAGCTCATGTAGCACATGAGGCACTGTGTTTGATCCTCAGCATCACATTTTTAATATATATTTGTTTTTTAGAAAGAGAGAGAGAGAGAGAGAGAGAGAGAGAGAGAATTTTAATATTTTCTAGTTTTCGGCGGACACAACATCTTTGTTTGTATGTGGTGCTGAGGATCGAACCCGCACGCATGCCAGGAGAGCGCGCTACCACTTGAGCCACATCCCCAGCCCAGCATCACATTTTTAAAAATAAGTAAAATAAAGGTAGTGTGTCCATCTACAATTTTTTAAAATCTAATAAAAAAGAATAAAGAAATTGGTACCAGGAGTGGGGTCATTGTTGTGACTAACCTGACCATTGGTTCACAAGTCTTTGGAACTGATTTTTCAAAGGAATTTGAAAAAGTTTGGAGATGCATGGTGGAAAAAACTTAAAATATTGTAACCAAAGCTTAATGGGTGGTGCTGGTGATGACCAGAATGTTAAGAGCGTAGCAGACAGTAAAGACTGTCCATGTAGTTTCAGAACAGGGACTCTATTGGAAATAGGACTAGAGGCCATTCATATTACATTCTGGCAAAGAACTTATCTACATTTCATCCATATTCTGAGACTTTGCATGAGGCTGAATATAAAAGTGATGGACTAGTTAATCTGGTGGAGAAAATTTCAAGACAGCAAAGCATTCAGATAGTGGCATGGATTCTGATGACAGCCATATTTACTGTTAGAATCAGGAGCATAAAGCAGACCTGAAGAATTTTAAAAACTTACAATTTGCCCAGAAAAGTGCATGAAAAACTGGGGCCAAAGGAGGTGTGGTTGATAAAGAGATTTCACTCTCTCTTCTTTCTGGTGGCCATGAATAGAGTAACACCCTTCTACCATGTTCTCCCGCCTCAGCTTTCTGCCTTCCTTCAGCTCAGAGCTATCAAGTCACCTAAGCCTGGACTGATCCTCTGAACCTATAACCCCAAAATAAACTTTTCCTCCTTGAAGTTGTTCTTGTCAGGTATTTCAGTCACACGAAGAAAACCACAATTGCCCAGGCTGGTCTGAAACTCATGATCTTCCTGCCAAGCCTCTCAAGTATCTGTAATTACAGGCATGTATCATCACATCCAGATCCTAATATTACTTCTATGAGTCAATCATATTAATTTGTTCTCTTCTTTAAAGATAGGATCATTGGAAAATCCTATCTTCCTTTAAAAAACTGAAAGTTTGGGCCTGGGGATGTGGCCCAAGCAGTAGCACGCTCTCCTGGCGTGCGTGCGGCCCGAGTTTGATCCTTAGCACCACATACAAACAAAGATGTTGTGTCCGCCGATAACTAAAAAATATTAATTAAAAAAAAAAAAACTGAAAGTTTGGGCTGGGGTTGTGGCTTAGCCGTAGAGCGCTTACTTAGCATGTGTGAGGCCCTGGGTTCGATCCTCAGCACCACATAAAATAAATAAACAAAATTGTGCCCAACTACAACTAAAAAAAAAATTAAACAAACAAACTGGAGGTTCAGCCATTGCTGTATGTAATAACATATCCATCCAATTCTATTAGGTGAATTTCTATGTAAGTTGTTGAAAGCAACTACGTGAGTATTACTTTGTTCACTGAATTTTACTATTATATTACTGATCCGTTTGTTCCTATAAAAACAAAAAATAAGTGAAATTAGAAATACATATTTTATATATATATATATATATATATGTTTGCTTTCAGCTACCTCTTACCAGCTGGATTATAGAGTATTCAACCAAGGACACAAGTGTGTGAACAGAAAGTTTCATTAGAAATAATTCATTATTTGGCTGGGGATGTGGCTTAGTGGTAAAAGCACTTGCCTAGCATGTGTAAGGCCCTGAGTTCAACACCCAGCACTGCAAAAAAAAAAAAAAAAAGGAAATAATTCATTATAAACCAGGCACAGTGGCACATGCTGTAATGCCAGTAGCTCAGGAGGCTGAGGCAGAAGTATTGCAAGTTCAAAGCCAGCCTCAGCAAATTAGGGAGGCACAAAGCAATTCAGCAAGAACCTGTGTCTAAATAAAAATATTTTAAAAAAGGGTTGGGGTTGTGACTCAGTGGTTAAGCACCCCTGGGTTTAATCTCTGTTACCAAAAAAAAAAAAAAAAAATTCATTACATTTTTGGTTTGAAACTTGGTATTCTACTTGAATTAAACTAACTGATTATTCTAATGGTCATTTTTTTGTTTTTGTTTTTGTTTTGGGGGTACAGGGGATTGAACTCAGGGGCACTCGACCACTGAGCCACATCCCTAGCCCTATTTTGTATTTTATCTAGAGACAGGGTCTCACTGAGTTATTTAGAACCTTGCTTTTTTTTTTTTTTAATACTCACTAGTTAATTGACCTTTATTTTATTTATATGCAGTGCTGAGTTCCTCACACATGCTATGCAAATGCTCTATCACTGTGCCACAAACCCAGCCCTAGAGCCTTACTTTTGCAGAGGCTGGCTTTGAACTCCTGCCTTAGCCTCCTAAACCACTGGGATTATAGGTGCATGCCACCACACCCAGCATTTTTGTGTTTTTAATGCTGAAGTTATTTGAGATACTTTCTGTAATAAAATGATG